ATATATAAACAATTGTAAAAGCTCACTTATATGTGATACTTCATAAAATAAACATGATTTTCACCAACTTGAAACTTTAGTATCTGAAATTGAAATTACGTATAACATTAACTCACCCAGTTAATTTGCTAAGATATAAGTGTGTGAAGCTGATCAAAAATCTTCATTAAACAGTACCATTTTTTTTAAAGTATTCGCATACAACGCTAAAACCTGGGGTTCGATTCCTCGGTTGGGGAGGACAGAGTGCTGATAGGTTAATGCGTACTTTTGAGCTAAAAACAAATAAAGGAACAGAATGAAAATCTTTTACGCTTATTTTTTTCAAGCATAGGAAAACTAAAATTGTTTGAGGAGTAGAGGTTTTTTTCTATAGAAATCTCAAAATTAGGCCTAGTTTACGTAAACTACGAATACAGTGTAATTGGAATACTATTATTAAACATTCTTCTAATTCTTGAAAATCCCAATGGGGTTAGATATAGAATGTAGTGTTTAAAAATATAATAGACTTAATACAATGTCTTATGACAGTTATAATTATGTTTCGCCAGCATCTGAAAGGCGTTTACATCATAACAAAGAGAGTGATTATTAGATTTCAGTGAGTATTCGATGTCACTGTTGCTAAGATCGTGATGGCATATTTATGGTCCTTTCCTTTCACATATTATATGTATTTTGCCCCATTACAAATATTGTTAAAATATTATGGGAGTACGTGGTTGTACTCGATGTCACTGTTGCTAAGTTCGTGATGGCATATTTATTGTCCTTTCTTTTCACATATTATATGCATTTTGCCCCATTAGAAATATTGTTAAAATATTATGGGAGTACGTGGTTGTACTCGATGTCATTTTGTGTCTAAATGTCTGATTTGGAGCAAAAATCGATTGACAATACTCATAATATGCACCCCATATTGACAAACACATCGTACAAATCTTCATATTGACTTGCTAGGACGTAGGGAGGTACTGAGACAACAGGAAGGACCAATTACCGTTTTCTTTCTCAGCACTATTTTTCACTGGATTTTAGGAACAAAGACTGTCTTTATAGGGACCCATCCTTTTAAAGGGCGTTTTTTTTTTAGTCAAGAAAAGTAAACAACAAACGGTACATTAATGAGCAGTGATTCATTTTAAAACGGTCCTTTATTCCATTATACTTGATTTATTAGGATCTCTAAAATCTGACCACTATTTCATTACACTTTTTTCTGTCAGAATATATAACAACTGTCCACTATCATTACACTTATTTTATTAGAATGTATATAAACTGCCCATTATGCCATTGTACTTATTTTATTGGAATAGGTATAAACTGTCCATTATGCCATTGTACTTATTTTATTGGAATAGGTATAAACTGACCATTATGACATTGTACTTATTTTATTGGAATAGGTATAAACTGACCATTATGACATTGTACTTATTTTATTGGAATAGGTATAAACTGACCATTATGACATTGAACTTATTTTATTGGAATAGGTATAAACTGACCATTATGACATTGAACTTATTTTATTGGAATAGGTATAAACTGAATATCAGAATATATAAAAATTATGTCATTGCACTTGTTTTATTAAGCTGTATATACACTGACCATTGAGCTTGTTTTATCAAAAATATACATGTAAGGTGTCTATTTTGTCATTGCACGATTTCAGTCAAAACATAGATAATAGCTCCTAGATTTATAGACATTTTCGGGGATTGGGGGGGGGGGCAAGGCTCCAATATCCCCTAAGAAGAAGCCTTGTCTTTCACCTAAAAGCTTGTCCATTCCTTAGCTCTCCCCCTTCCAACTCAAAATCTATTCTTGCGTTAATGTACAGGTATGTTGTTGTGTTAGGTTAAACAATAAGTATGTTAGTAGGAACAGTAATAGCCTATAAGCTTATCAACAATATTTACAGGTTTACCTTTATGGTGTTATTTGTTGACTTCAACTTCAATTTTGTTATGAATTTAACTTTTGTGACTTTTTGAACGACTCAACTATTTGATCTTTGTTAACCATAAAGAGAAGCTATAGATAGTTGAATTCAACCTTCAATTTTTTACTTGGTTGTGTACTTATCCCACTATGTTGCTAGCCGCATCTGAAATTGAGAAAATAAACAAATTAAAAACGTTATGGTGTGAACACCTCTTCCAAGTTTGGTTTGCTTTGAATTTCGCGCAAAGCTACACGAGGGCTATCTGCGCTAGCCGTCCCTAATTTAGCAGTGAAAACTAGAGGGAAGGCAGCTAGTCACCACCACCCACCGCCAACTCTTGGGCTACTATTTTACCAACGAATAGTGAGATTGACTGTCACATTATAATGCCCCTACGGCTGAAAGGGAATATTTAGTGTAACGGGATTCAAACCCACGACCCTCATATTGCGCGTACAACCCCCTAATCACCTGGCCATGCCATGCCCACCTCTTCCAATCTGGCGAAACATTGATTGTTGTAATAAATTAGCAGAGACCCGCAAAATATTTGTGGTCAAATTAGTATCTTTATTGTAACAGCACTTCTTTAAATACAAGATTTCTAGAATAACACAAAATAATTCTAATCGCAAACCCCAAAATCTATAAGTACACTTGTCTTAGGCCTAACATTAGTTAAGCCTTAACTACAACCTATATTCGACAAAGAGATAAATTAACACTAACTTGTGTACGTTTTTTGCTTTTCCCCCGCTGGGACAGCGGTAAGTCTACGGATTTACAACGCTAAACTCAGGGATTCGATTCCCCTCGGAGACACAGCAGATAGTCCAGTGTGACTTTGCTTTAATTGAGTTATGGCTAAACTTTACCGTACTTAGTACTATCAATAAATAAACTTATAATGTCATTCTACGGCTTATCGTTAGACCTTTTTAAAAACGCTTTTACTATATTGTTGTACAAAATGTTTACTAATGGATATTTACATCCGACGTTTGTTTACATCAGGTGAAATGAAGTGCGAGCGCATGCGCATTTAGATAGTAAGTTGTGCGCCCCCTTTTCAGGACAGACAAAAACTGAGAATTATTATAACAGGTGCTTGTCATACGACATTAGTATTAGGCCTATTATATTTTAAATACACTCTATTTTTATCTAGTCCCTTAGACAGTATCAAGAATCAGAAAAGTGTATATTAATAGTATTCCAACAACACTGTGTTCACCGTATCCATTACCGACGACGCGTTTCGTACAATCCAGTGCTCCTTTTGAGTGTTATAGACCCTCAAACTTACCACTGAGCTATCGTGAGGCCGTTCTTTCATAAAAGAGTAAAAATGTAGATAGCATGCTGTTTAGTTTTCGGTTGATTAATATTTATGTAAGTAAAATGAGATATAAAGCTTGTAAAGTGAAGATGGGAAATTCGAAACGGTTGATATTTACCTGTGTAATGGCCTGTCATGGTAGTTATTAGGGCGCTCAACTAGCAAGATGCGAATCGCGGGATTGAAACCCATCGCCGAACATGCTCGCCCTATCAGCTGTGGAGGCATTATAATATGACGGTCAATTCCACTATTTGTTGATAAAGAGTAGTCAAAGAGTTGGCGGTGGGTTGTCTTGACTAGCTTAGCTGCCTTCCCTCTAGTCCAGTGGTGCCCAACCTTTTCAATGCTGGCACCCCTTGAGATTTTGAAATGGCATACCGCACCCCAGAGTTAGAAGCAAAAAATTTAATTTTTTTTTCAGGTCAAATTATTAAGTACTAATTAATGAGTATTTTTAATTAACACAAATTTTCGAAAAGAATAAAAACACTTATTTTGCCAGAAAAGAAAAGAAAACGCGTTATCATGAGTCAGAAAAATTTATATATATGTGTGTGTCCGTGTGTGTGTCTGTGTCTGTGTGCCTGTGTGTGTGAGTTTGCCAAAAAAAAAAAACACGTTATCATGAGTCAGA